CGATGAAGCCTCCTGCCTCGGCCTCTCAAAGTGTTGGGGTTACAGGTGTGAGCCTCTGTGCCTGGCCAAAATAATTTTTTTAGAAGGTGACAAAAAAAAACCTTTTAGAGCTACCATAAAAGCAATGAGATTATAAGTACTGGGGTAACAGGCATGAGCCACCGTGCCCAGTGGGTTAGATAACTCTGTGTTGTGTAGGCCTATCTGGTGCATGGTAGCCCACTGAGCTGTATCCCTGGTCTCCACCCACTAGATGCCAGCAGCACTGCCGTCTTCCGACTCTGACAACCAAAAATGTTTCCAGAGATTGCCAAATGTTCCCTAGCAGACAAAATTACCCCCAGTTCAGAACCACTGCTCTAGGTGTTTGAGAAATACAAATAAGTACTTTTATTTTTTCAGAAATACTTTCTGAAAATTACTGAATAGGAAAATACCTTCCCGGCCCGAGTGCGATGGCTCATGCCGTAACCCCAGCACTTCAGAGAGGCCAAGGCACGAGATCACCTGAGGTCAGAGTCAAGACCAGCCTGGCAACATGGGTGAAACCCCATCTCTACTAATCAAAATAGAAAAATTAGCTGGGCACGGTGGGGGCGCCTGTAATCACAGCTACTCAGGAGGGCTGAGGCAGGAGAATTGCTTGAATCCGGGAGGCGGAAACTGCAGTGAGCTATCACACCAACTGCACGATCCAGCCTGGACCAACAAAGGGGAGAGTTCGTCTCAAAACAAAAACAAAACAAACACAAAAACTGCCATATCATTGAGCTTCCACTTTTCTGAATAAATTGGTAGAAAGCCTTGAATTTGTTCCACTGTGTTTGATTTTGAAAAAGCACCCCTACCTGTTTTTTTTTTTTTCTTTTTTGAGACAGGTGTGGCTCTGTTGCTCAGAGAATGCAGTGGCATGAGTTTTGGCTCATTGCAAACTCTGCTTCTAGGCTCAAACCATCTCCCCACCTCAAGCCTCCTGAGTAGCTGGAATACAGGTGCATATCCACCATGCCAGAGCTAATTTGTGGCGTGTGTGTGTGTGTGTGTGTGTTTTGTAGAGACAGTTTGCCCTGTTGCTAGGCTGGTCTCGAAGCTCCTGAGCTCAAAGCAATCCACCTTGCTTGGCTTCCCAAAAGTGCTGGATTACAGGTGTGAGCCACTACACCCCGCCTGATTTTGAAAAATCCTTTTACATCTCTGATCTCATGTTTTCCTAAAACAACTCAAGAGGAATTGTTGGATGGCTGTTCAAAAAGTCTACTATGCAAAAAAGTTAAAAAAAAAAAAAAAAAGTACATTGGCTGGGCACGGTGGCTCACGCCCGTAATCCCAGTGCTTTCGGAGGCCGAGGTGGGCAGATCACCTGAGGACAGGAGCTTGAGACCAGCCTGGCCAACATGGGGAACCCCCATCTCACTAAAAATACAAAAATTAGCTGGGTGTGGGTGCTGGTGCCTGTATCCCAGCTCCTTGGGAGGCGTGAGGCAAGAATTGCTTGAACCCGGAGGCGGAGGTTGCAAGTGAGCCGAGACTGAGCCATTGCATTCCAGCCTGGACAACAAGAGCGAAATCCGTCGTCAAAAAAAAAAGAAAGATTAGCCTGGCTGTGGTGGTGCACCTGTAATCCCAGCTACTGGGAGGCTGAGGCACAAGAATCTCTTGAACTGGAAACGTAGGTTGCAGTGATCCAAAATTAACCACTACACTCCAAAGCTGGGTAACAGAAAGACTCTGTCTCAAAAAACAAAATATAAAATAATAATAAGAAAGTCTACTATGCAGATGAGAAAACAGAAACTGTGCAAATGTCCACTATGCAAATTAGAAGATAAAAGCCATGCAAATGTTGACTTGTGCAAATGAGAAAAGAAATTCAGTGACCTACCCAAGGTCACACTGCCTTTGAAAACAAAGTTAGGATCAAATCCCAGAGCTGCTGTTAACCCCATTTCTTTAGATTACATCCCACAAGAAAAGTTTCTGTTCGTGGAAAAAAAAGAAAAAAAGTTTCTTCGCATACTGTAACCTTCTTCCTGATAGGAAAAATTTTATAGGAGAGTTAGCTGCGCTTGATTATAGACGTTCAATAAAGTAAGCATGATAATGACCTGTCTGAAAGAGAACTTTCTGCAATGATCTGGAGAATGTGGACCTGTGCTGTGTAACAATGGAACCACTAACTCTTTTTTGTTTTTTTGAGACAGAGTCTCGCTCTGTCGCCCAGGCTGGAGTACATTGGCGCGATCTTGGCCCACTGCCACCTCTGCCCCCTGGGTTCAAGTGATTCTCCTGCCTCAGCCTCCCAAGTAGCTGGGGTTACAGGCGCCCGCCACCACACCCAGCTAATTTTTCTATTTTTAGTAGAGACGGGATTTCACCATGTTGGCCAGGCTGGTCTCGATCCCATGACTTCAAGTGATCTGCCCACCTTGGCCTCTGAAAGTGCTGGGATTACAGGTGTGAGCCGCCGCGTCTGACTTTTTGTTTTTTTTTTTTAGACAGAGTCTCACTCTGTCACCCAGGCTGAAGTGCAGTGGTGCAATCTTGGCTCACTGCAACCTCCGCCTCCTGGTTTCAAGCAATTCTTGTGCCTCAGCCTCCCGAGTAGCTGGGAATACAGAGGTGCGCAATGACGCCTGGTTAAATTTTGTTTTTAGTAGAGACAGGGTTTCATCATGTTGGCCAGGCTGGTCTCGAACCCGTGACCTCAAGTGATCGGCCTGCCTCAGCCTCCGAAAGTGCTGAGATTACAGGTATGAGCCACTGTGCCGGGCCCAGGACCACTAACTCTTGAGCACTTGAAATATGTCTAGTGTGGCTGGGAAACTGAATTTTAATGTAATGTGATTGTTCATAATCTGAATGTAAATAGGCACAAGTGAAAGAGGGTCAGAGAGCTCAAACAGGGGCTCATTTTTCTTGAAAACAATTGAACCAAGCTCATTATCAAATCAGAAAACATTTTCCAGGCCCAGCAGACCTTTGCCCTGTAATCGTTACATTGTCTTGAGGGAGAGGTTGGTGATAACCCTGATATCAGCCCTTGGCAGCACACACAGGTTTCTTCTGGTTGGACACGTTTTTATGGCCTTTGGGAGAGTTGAAAGGAGAATGGAGTCCTCTGCTTCTACTTTTTCTTTTCCAGTTAACAAACAACTTCATTACCCAAATAATATAAGAATGCACGGTTGTCTTGTGTAATTTTAAAATACAGATACGCACAATTGTATAACGTAAATATGCTCAGCTTCAATACATTTTAGAACACACACACACACACACACACACACACAGAATGCACGGTTGTCATGAAAAATACAGAATTTATAGAGTAAAAAAGTGAAAATATCCCTCCCCGGAGGTCACTGAACATTTAACCCCATGGTTTACAGCCTACTTGACTGTTGACCTTTCTCTGTGCACTTACGTGGTCTTGCTTGATATATGAAATATCAATATAATATGGATTTTTAGTGATCTAGCCCGATCCCTGTATGGACATTCAGATTTCCTCTCATTTCCTTCCTTTGTAAACAATGCCGTAGGCAACCACTATGTACTACCTACCTACAATGTGTCTGCTATATCTGTTCTCTCCTTCACTCTCCTGGAGTTTTCCTGCCATCCAAGGAGGTATTTGAGGCGTTCAGTCATTCCTACCATAAGAAGTCAGGCAGCAGGGTGCAGTGGCTCAAAACCTGTAATCCCAGCACTTTGGGAGGCTGAGGCTGGAGGACCGTTTGAGCCCAGGAGTTGGAGACCAGCCTGGGCAACATGGCGAGACCATGTCTCTACCTTTTTATTTTAAAAAAAGAAGGAGAAGAAGTCAGAGAGTTTTCTGAGCCACCAGGGCTTACTGTTCTTCTTCTTCAAAGTTGTTTTGGCTCTTCTTCTGAGTGTGTTGCGATTCCATGTGAATTTTAGGATCAGCTTGTCAGTTTCTGTAAGGAAGCCAGCTAGGCTGCTAAGAAGGATAATGTTGAATCGGTAAATCAATTTGAGGAATTTGGCCATAGATCTTCTGATCCATAAACATGGGATGTTTTCTGTTTCTTTATGGCTTCTTTAATTATTATTATTTTGTTTTTGAGACAGAGTCTCGCCCTCTTGCCCAGGCTGAAATGCAGTGGCGTGATCTCGGCTCACCACAACCTCCACCTCCCAGGTTCAAGTGATTCTCCTGCCTCAGCCTCCCAAGTAGCTGGGACTACAGGCACGTGCCACCATGCCCGGCTAATTTTTGTATTTTTAGTGGGGACGGGGTTTCACTATGTTGGCCAGGCTGGTCTCGAACTCCTGACCTTGTGATCCACCTGCCTTCGCCTACCAAGGTTCTGGGATTACAGGCATGAGCCACCGGGCCCAGCCAAGATTTGCACTTCTTTAGTTAAATTTAGTCCTAATGTTTTATTCTTTTTGATGCTATGGCACATGGAATTTTATTGTTAATTTCAGTTTTGGCTTGTTATATGTGCTTTTTTTCTTTCAGAGACAAGCTCTTGCTCTGTTATCCAGTGCAGTAGCACAATCACGGCTTACTCCAGCCTCCCAAGCAGCTGGGACCATAGCCATGCACCTCTATGCCTAGCTAATTTTAAAAAACAATTTTTGTAGAGATAGCGGTCTCTCTATGTTGTCCAGGCTTGTCTCAAACTCCTGGGCTCAAGTAATCCTCCTGCCTCAGCCTTCCAAAGTTCTGGGATTACAGGTGTGAGCTACCATGCCCGGCCATCTGTGCATTTTTATTTATTTATTTTTTTTGAGATGGATCTCACTCTGTCACCCAGGCTGGAGTGCAGTGGTGTGATCTCAGCTCTCTGCAACCTCTGCCTCCTAAGTTCAAGTGATTCTCCTGCCTCAGCCTCCCGAGTAGCTAGGATTACAGGCACGCAACACCAAGCCCGGCTAATTTTTTTGGTATTTTTAGTAGAGACAGGAGTTTTGCCATATTGGCCAGGCTGGTCTCGAACTCTTGACCTCAGGTGATCTGCCCGTCTCGGTCTCCCAAAGGGCTGGGATTACAGGTGTGAGCCACCTTGCCTGGCCCACCTGTGCATTTTTAATGCCAGGGTTTTATCAGTGCTTTATTTCCCAAACACTGAGTACTCCCTGTGCCTCTGGGACTGTTCCAGTCTCTGGAGATACAGAGAGGAAAGGGGACACTGGAACTTGTGTTCCTTGAGGCAGGGACTACTCTTCTGGTTGCCCCACAGTGAGCTGACCAGTCTAACCTCATGCTCTTGGCTTCGTTTCAGGGTTTCCTGGAGGAGACTAGCCTCTTTTACGGACATTACACCATTGATGGGGTGAAATTTCAGAACTTCACCTATGATCTGCCCCTGGCGTATTTGATAAGCACAATCGCCTACCTGGCCCTGAGCCTTCTTTGGATAGTGAAAAGGTAAAGTCTGTCCTTGCATTCTCTCTGAATTACCCTTGATGGCTGGAGGCTGTTGGAGATACGGGAGCCCTGGGGGCCACTGCCTAAAGGATGAGCGGAGTCCAGTGGTGGGTTTTGTGGGGAAGGGTTTGTGAGTACATTGGCAGCTGAAGAGACCTGGGAGAAATAGAAGTCAGGATTTGGGATGGAGTAGCAGACTGAGGTTCTTTTTTTTTTTTTTTTTTTTCCCCAGACAGAGTCTTTCTCTCTCACCCAGACTGGAGTGCAGTGGTGCAATCTTGGCTCTCTGCAACCTCCACCTCCTGGTTTCAATTCTCATGCCTCAGCCTCCTGGGTAGCTAGTACTGTAGGAACGTGCCACCACGCCTAGCTAATTTTTGTATTTTTGGTAGCGTTTCACTATGTTGGCCAGTCTGGTCTCGAACTCCTGACCTCAGGTGATCCGCCTACCCTGGCCTCCCAAAATTCTGGGATTACAGGTGTAAGCCACGGTGCCTGGCGTGGGGTTCTCCACTCAATCACTACTGAACACATCTGGCAATCCCACCCCACTGCACACACACCCTTTCCTTTGCTTTGGTGTGTATGTTAACAAGGTGTCTACTGGGTTGTAAGTAGCAGAAACCTAACTCTGATGGTTATTGAGTGGCTCACAGATCCAAGGAAGGGAGGAAACTCAAATTACAGGAAGGACAAAGATGGAGCCATGGCTTAGGAACAACATCAAAAGCAAGAATCCCTCGTCTTCAATTCTTTGGTGTAGTGGTGGCTTTCTTAAGTGGTGGGAAATAGGGCATCTTATAGTTTGCATCAGCCTTGACCTCCTGCGTCACAGGTGCAGAAATCCTTAGAAGAAACTTGTTGTTTCTGCTTCATTCAGGTTTCCAGCCCTGACCCTTCCACCGTGGCCATGGGGAGCAGCGTGTCTACGATGAGCCCCTGGAGGTTCAAGTGCTCAGCACTGCACTCCTTCAGCTGTGGCCAGGGGCTAGGGTCCTATGACAACATGGCTTTTCCTGTGGGAGACAAGTGCTTTAGGGAGAGAGAGCAATTCCCAAGAGAAGAGAAGAGTATTAATTCCCTTAACAAACAACTGGTACAAAAGGTACAATGACCCAAACACAATAGAAATTTTATTTCTTTTTTATTAGCTGGGCATGATGGCACACACCTGTAGTCCCAGCTACTTGGGAGGTGGAGACACGAGAATCACTTGAACCTGGGAGGTGAGGCTGCAGTGAGCCAAGATTGTGCCACTGCACTCCAGCCTGGGCGACAGAGCAAGACTCTCAAAAACAAACAAACAAATGAAACAAAAACAAAACCTATATTTCTCTTTTACATGACAGTTCTGGGTAGGGGCACAGGTTAGTGTGGTAGAATTCTTCTTATAGTATTCTAGGACTAAAGTTGACCAAAGTTCAGCCATCTTCAGCATGTGGTTTCGAAGGTCCCACGGAGGAATGGGAAAGGAAAAGGCATGGAGGAGAACCATGCGGAGGGTACTTATAGGACAGACCTGGAAGTGGTGTCCATCACTCACATCCCATTGGCTACAGCTTAGTCACATGACTATAACCAACTGCAAAGGAGGCCAGGAAACATTGTTCCTGGCTGGGCAGCCATTACCCAGCAGTGATACTGTACTATAGAAGGTGAACCACAAATTTCTGATGGACAACTTGCCATCTCTGCCCCAGGGGAGTTTCTTCACAGACAGTATCATGGATGGACCTCTTTATTGCCCACTTGATTGTCCCTGTGAGAGCATACACAGTGTTGTAAGCCATGGAGCTGCGAAGCCCCTTATCACAGGTGCAGAACAGACCAGGGTGCTGCGGATGGATTTGGCCCTCCATAAGGACCAGGATTCACTACTGCAAAGAAAACCCCAATGCCCAACCTGGCACTTGTATCCTGAGTCAGAATCTATGAGATGAACGTGAACTAGTGAGCGTCCATCCCCCACCCAAATGTACTATGTACAAATGAGAAGAAGCCTGAGGCTGCTTTTGAGGGGCAAAGAGATGCTTGGTAAACATTGGTTGATTGGGGTTCCGTGATTGTGCCAGGGGAGATCCAAGTTTTATGGACCTACAGGCGAGACAATTTGGAAGCGCCATCTTTAAGACAAAGAGTATGAAAATATGTTTTGTAAATGATAAATAAAACAACAAATAAGACCATAGGAACACATTGCTAGAGTCTTCCAAAGCCTTGGAAGGGTCCCTGAAGAATGAATAAGGTTTTTTGTTTTTGTTTTTGTTTTTGTTTTTCAAGATGGAGTCTTGCTCTGTCACCTAGGCTGGAGTGCAGTGTCCTGATCCTGGCTCACTGCAACCTCTGCCTTCCGGGTTCAAGCAATTCTTCTGCCTCAGCCTCCCGAGTAGCTGAGATTACAGGCGCTCTCCACCACGACTGACTAACTTTTGCATTTTTAGTAAAGATGGGGTTTCACCATGTTGGCCAGGCTGGTCTTTAACTCCTGACCTCGTGATCCACCCACCTAGACCTCCCAAAGTGCTGGGATTACAGGCGTGAGCCACCGCACCGGGCCGAATGAATAAGGTTTGTTAGTTGTACAGCGAATCCAACTATGAATCTTGTTCAAGCTCAAGGCCTTGATTGCTTTCTGGGGAAGGCCATGGAGGGAGGGCTGGGTGTGATGTAATGGGAGAAAGCCCTGCTATGGCCCAGGAAGTGAATGTGCCACAGAGTGACAAAGAGTATGGACTTTGTAGGCCAGAGACCATGACTAGAATGTCAGTTCACCTCTTTGAGCCTCATTTTCTTCATCTGTGAAATCTGCATACCTGGAAGGGTTGTTGGGAGGATTAACGTAAACTAGGCAGGTGAATGAACACCTTAGCACTGTGCCTAGCACCTTATAGACATTTATTGAATTAAAATTATTATCATCATCATCATCATCAAAGTAACACCAGTTCTGCCACCTAACTCTCTGGATATAGGGAAATAATTTTCCTTCCTCTGGATCTTAGTTTTCTCATCTGTGAAATGTAGGTCTGGGTCAGGCATGGTGGCTCACACCTGTAATCCTAGCACTTTGGGAGTGCAAGGTGGGTGGATCGCTTGAGCCTAGGAGTTCAAGACCAACTCTGGGTAACATGGCAAAACCCTATTTCTACAAAAAATTCAAATAATAGCTAGGTGTGGTAGTGCGTGCTTGTAGTTTGAGCTATGTGGGAGGCTGAGGTGGGAGGATCACCTGAACTTGGGGAGGTTCAGGCTGCCGAGAGCCACGATCAGACCACTGCACTCCACCCTGGGTGACAGAGTGAGACTCCCATCTCAAAAAATAAAAAATAAAATGTAGGTCTGGTCTAAATCAGAGGCTTGCAACTGGGATGGGTCACCGTAAGCTTTATAACGTGGTGTATTTCTGGAGCCCGCATGAGACTTACTGAATTGAAAATCTCAGGTAAGTAACCATTTGGGAACTGGATTTGGGGAAGGTACTCCATGTGGTTCTGACATAAATTCTTTGCTGTAATCCTTTAGCAGAATGACTGATCATAACAATTCCTTCCATTTCTATTGTCTTTATGCCTCACTGGCAAATCCTAAAAATAACCTGTTTCATCTACAGAGGACTGTGTATGGCATCTGGTGTTTTATATCCAGTGCCAGGCTTATTTTTCCCATGAAAGCATTTGAATGAATAAAAATACACAACAATTGTATCTGACCTAAACAGGTGCTCACTAAATAGTTAATATACTATTTAAGTCATTTATTCATTGCTTTATCCATCAGTTGCATGTTAACCAAAGTATATAGTCCATGCATTATGGATAGAAAGGTGGCAAGATAGCCAGGGGACCTGCTCTCAAGGAATTTAAAATTTAGTTAGAGTAAGGAGTTACAAGCAATAAACAGATGAATAAGATAATTGCAGGTTAGTATCACTGCTGTGAGTTAAATAAAAGGGACTGGGCTGGGCGTGGTGGCTCATGCCTGTAAGCCCAGCACTTTGGGAGGCCGAGGCAGGCGGATCACCTGAGGTCAGGAGATCGCGACCAGCCTGGCTAACCTGTTGAAACCCTGTCTCTACTAAAAATACAGACAATTAGCTGGGCGCGGTGACAGGCGCCTATAATCCCAACTACTCGGAATGCTCAGGCAGGAGAATCGCTTGAACCTGTGAGGCGGAGGTTGCAGTGAGCCGAGACTGCGCCACTGCACTCCAGCCTGGGTGACAGAGTAAGACTCCATCTCAAAAATAAGTAAATAAATAAATACGTAAAAAGGACTGGCTTGAAGTGGGGGTTACAGCCTTAGATGGGGAGATGAGGGATTACAAAGGGGTTATTTGAACCCAAACCTGAAGGATGGGAAGGAGACCAGCCATAGGGAGGGTGAGAGGAGCACCATCCCTGGAGAGAGTAGTGGGAATTTCCCAGAGGCAGGAACAGGAATTTGTGTATTTATAGAAAAGAGAGAAAGCAAGTATAGTTACATGGGAGGAGAGGCGATGGCACAGCTGGATCACATAGGGATCTCTCAGCTGTATTAAGGAGTTTGGATTTTAAAAGAAAATGAATCGTCCTACCAAAAAGACATGTGCACTCGTATATTCATCACAGTGCTATTCGCAATAGCCAAGAAATGGAATCCACCAAGGTGCCCATCAGCGGAGGACTGGATAAAGAAAATGTGGTACATAAACACCATGGAATACTACACAGCCATAAAAAACAATGAAATAATGTCCTTTGCAGCAACATGGTTGCAGCTAGAGGCCATTATCCAAAGCAAATTAATGCAGGAACAGAAAACCAAATACTGCATTTTCTCACTTATTAGTAGAAGCTAAACATGGGGTACTTATGGACATAAAGATGGCAGCAAAACAAACTGAGGACTCCTAGAGTGGAGAGGGAGAGAGGGAGGCAGGGATTGAAGAACTGTTGGATGTTATGCTCAGTACCTGGACGACGGGATCATTTCTACCCCAAATCTTAGCATCATGCAGTATTACCAAGGTTACAAACCTGCACATGTACTCCTGAATCTAAAATAAAAGTTGGGTAAAAAAGTATGGATTTTATTCTAGCTGTGTTTGAAGCAATTAGATGGGTAAAGGAAAGGATCAACAATGAGATACCTAGTTAGCTGCCACATATATTTAGAATGGCCTCAAACTTGACCATGTCGCAATGGGCTGAAAATGCAGCTATGTCTCACTTTTTTTAAGTTTCAGACACAGCCAGTTCAGGGGACTCTCTTTTGCTGTTGTTTCTATAAGAAGGATGATTGTGTTTTGGGGTCAGGTCGGTGGAAGGATTCAAAATCAACCTGATTCGGAGTGAGGAGCACTTTCAGAGTTACTGCAACAAGATCTTTGCCGGCTGGGACTTCTGCATCACTAACCGCAGCATGGCGGATCTGAAGCACAGCAGCTTGCGGTACGAGCTCCGAGTGAGTGCTCCTGGGTTTTCCCGTGGTGGGGTCCTCACCAGCAAGGTCCTGCCTTTGGAGCCTGAGTTTTCAGCTTTCAGAGAATCAAGGGTGGGGGACAGGTTGTCCCTGGTGCTTAGCAAGTTACCCCTCTATAGCTTTCAAGAACTTTTCACAGCAAACACGTTACTAGGGTTGATTACCCTAGACCTGAATAGGAGCTCTGGTGAACTGGAACTGGGAAGTGGGGTGGGGACACAGTGGCTGGAAGGAGGTGATGTCTTTCCCCAGACCCTACTACTTTACACTGTTATTTTTCCACGTGAGGAGGACCTGCCATAAACACTGCTTATACCAGGAGAAACGGGAGTAAGGGGGGAATGTTATGACCATAGTGTGGGATGGAGAGTATATGAAAAAGTACAGACCGGGTGCGGTGGTTCATGCCTGTAATCCCAGCACTTTGGGGGGCTGAGGCAGGCAGATCACAAGGTCAGGAGATCGAGACCATCCTGGCTAACATGGTGAAACCCCATCTCTACTAAAAATACAAAAAATTAGCCAGGCATGGTGGCACATGCCTGTAGTCTCAGCTACTCGGGAGTCTGAGGCAGGAGAATTGCTTGAACCCGGGAGGTGGAGATTGCAGTGAGCCGAGATTGCACCACTGCATTCCAGCCTGGGTGACAGAGCAAGACTCTAAAAAAAAAAAAAAAAAAAAAAAAAAAAATTACCCAAGAGTTTCCAAATGAATAAGGAGAGAAAGGAGTAAAGAATAGCATGTTAATAAACCCATCAAAGCAAAGGAGGAGGGGACAAATAAATCAAAAGCATAATAAAATGGAAGGAATCAAATCAAATCTATTATTTCTTACACTAAATACAAACAGATTAAATTCTCCTAATAAAAGCAGAGACTACTAGATTGTGTAAAAGAAAAAATGACAACACCTCACCTGTATGCTGTTTGAAGAAATGACACATACTATATTTAAGTAATATCATGAATAGTTTATAGTTCTGTTTTCACATTTATTGCAAAGCCCAATTGCAGTCTTAAATAGGTTCTACCTTTACTTAAGCCTTTAGTAGACATAAAAAATAGTTGGGCTAGGCCAGGCGCAGAGCTTCATGCCTGTAATACAGCACTTTGGGAGGCTGAGGCAGGTCAAGGTCAGGAGATTGAGACCATCCTGGCCAATATGGTGAAACCCCGTCTCTACTAAAATTACAAAAATTAGCTGGGCATGGTGGTGCATGTCTGTAATCCTAGCTACTCGGGAGGCTGAGGCAGGAGAATGACTTGAACTAGGGAGTCAGAGGTTGCAGTGAGCCGAGATTGGACCACTGCACTCCAGCCTGGCAACAGAGCGAGACTCCATCTCAAAAAAAAGAAAAAAAGTAGTTAGGCTAAGTCTAGGATGGTATCTTGTGGGAGATGAATATTTAAAAGAAGTTTTTGTTGTTGTTGTGTTTTGTTTTTGCTTTTTCCTGAGATAGCATTTCACTCTGTCACCCAGGCTGGAGTATAGTGACATGATCATACATCACTGCAGACTTGAACTCCCAGGCTCAAGCAATCTTCCACATCAGCGTCCCGAGTAGCAGGGACTACAGGCATTCATCACCACACCCAGCTAAATCTTCTGGGTTTTCTTGTAGAGATGGAGTCTCCCTATGTTGCCAGGGTTGGTCTTGAACTCCTGGGCTCAAGTGATCCTCCTACCTTGGCCTCCCACAGTGCTAGGGTTACAGGAGTGAGCCACCACGCCTGGCTAGAACTCTTAAAGATGGGTGGGGAGAGAGTGATGAATCAGTTTCTATCCCTGAGTATCCCTTCATCCCACTGCTCACAAATGAATTTTCTTTTATCTTCAGGCAGATCTGGAGGAAGAAAGAATACGGCAGAAAATAGCAGAAAGGACCTCAGAAGAAACAATACGCATTTACTCTTTGAGACTGTTTTTGAACTGTATTGTTCTGGCTGTTTTAGGGGCATGCTTTTATGCAATATATGTAGCAACTGTCTTCTCTCAAGAGCACATGAAAAAGGTAAGTTAACTTGAACTCTGGCTGGACATTATGCCTAGTGCACTGAAAACCTGTGAGGTAGGTACCATTGTCATTTCTGTTTTACATATGGAGATACAAGTTTGGCTAATATGATCAAGACCTGAAAATCAGAGTGATCAGTTTCCACTTTTTTTTTTGAGACGGAGTTTTGCTCTTGTTGCCCAGGCTGGAGCACAATGGCGTTGTCTTGGCTCACTGCAGCCTCCGCCTCCCAGGTTCAAACGATTCTCCTGCCTCAGCCTCCTTAGTAGCTGGGATTATAGGCATGTGCCACCATGCCCGGCTAATTTTGTGTTTTTATTGGAGATGGGATTTCTCCATGTTGATCAGGCTGGTCTTGAACTTCCGACCTCAGGTGATCTGCCCTCCTCCGCCTCCCAAAGTGCTGGGATTACAGATGTGAGCCACTGTACCCTGCCCAGTTTTCACTTTTAAGAGAATTTTTTTTGTTTTTGTTGTTGAGACAGAGTCTCACTCTGTCGCTCAGGCTGAAGTGTGGTGGTGTGATCTCAGCTCACTGTAACCTCCATCTCCCAGGTTCAAGTGATTCTCGTGCCTCAGCCTCCCTAGTAGCTGGCATTACAGGGATACGCCACCACATCCAGCTAATTTTTGTATTTTTAGCAGAGACGGGTTTTCACCATGTTGGCCAGGCTGGTCTCGAACTCCTGACCTCAAGAGATCCACCCACCTTGGCCTCCCAAAGTGCTGGGATTGCAGGTGTGAGCCACCGCACCTGGCTTTAGAGAAATTTTTTTTTTTTTTTTTTGAGACGGAGTCTCGCTCTATCGCCCAGGCAGGAGTGCAGTGGCCGGATCTCAGCTCACTGCAAGCTCCGCCTCCCGGGTTCACGCCATTCTCCTGCCTCAGCCTCCCGAGTAGCTAGGACTACAAGCACCTGCCACCTCGCCCGGCTAGTTTTTTGTATTTTTTAGTAGAGACGGGATTTCACCGTGTTAGCCGGGTGGTCTCGATCTCCTGACCTCGTGATCTGCCCGTCTCGGCCTCCCAAAGTGCTGGGATTACAGGCTTGAGCCACCGCGCCTGGCCGAGAAATTTTTAAAAGCATCTAAAGTGTAGTGTTTGAGATCCTTACTACTCCTGGAATTTGCAATATGCAAAACTAGGCTGGACTAGGGTTTTATCCCTGACTGTTATTTATGAACTAAGGCCTTAGTTTACCTAAAATAGCAGTGGTTTTAAAAATCCAAGTTTGTCTAGTGGCTCTGCTTTATGAAATCAATCATCAGGGGTCCAGGTTCCATTCATCTTGTGGCTCTGCCCTCCCTAGGATATGGTTTTCTTTTCTTCTTTCTTTTTTTTTTTGAGACAGAGTCTCGTTCTGTCACCCAGACTGGAGTACAGTGAGTGGCGCAGTCTCGGCTCACTGCAACCTCCACCTCCCGGGTTTAAGTAATTCTCCTGTCTCAGCCTCCCAAGTAGCTGCGATTATAGGCACCCGCCACCACACCTGGCTAATTTTTGTATTTTTTGTAGAGACAGGGTTTCGCCAGGTTGGCCAGGCTGCTCTCGAACTTCTGACCTCAAGTGATCCACCTCCCTCAGCCTCCCAAAGTGCTGGGATTACAGGCATGAGCCATTGCGCCTGGCTGAGTATGGTCTTCTGTATGGTACAAGATAGCTCACCACCATGGCCACATTCTAGCCAAGGGGAAGGAGAAGAAGGGGCTAAGAAGGGCGCATTTCTTCCTTTAAAGGGCATGACCTGGGGGTTACACTAAAAACTTCCACTCATATCCCCTTGGCCAGAATTTAGTCACATGGTAGTACCTAGCTACAAGGGAGGCTAGGAAATTTACTTTTTATTGCAGATAGCTATATATTGTCTGAGTAGTCTGTTACTGTGAAAGCAGGGAATTGCTATTTCAATTTCAAATCAATCAATCCTACACCCTTGAAGATACTTTAAATTGCCCATTTATACAGAACTCATGAGTCTTCTTTTTTTTTTTTTTTTTTTTTGAGACGGAGTCTTGCTTGTCGCCCAGGCCGGAGTGCAGTGGCGCGATCTCGGCTCACTGTAAGCTCCGCCTCCTGGGTTCAAGCGATTCTCCTGCCTCAGCCTCCCAAGTAGCTGGGACTACGGGTCCCGCCACTACGCCCGGCTAATTTTTTACATTTTTCGTAGAGACCGGGTTTCACCGTGTTAGCCAGGATGGTCTCGATCTCCTGACCTCGTGATCCATCCGCCTCGGCCTCCCAAAGTGCTGGGATTATAGGCGTGAGCCACCGCGCCCGGCCTCACGGGTCTTCTTATACAACCCCTTAATCAATCCAGTAGAGCTTGGTTTTCTTCCCGCACAGTACTAGATACCTCTTTTTGAACATCTGAAGAAGAAGATGGCGGCTGGGCGCGGTGGCTCATGCCTGTAATCCTAGCACTTTGGGAGGCCAAAGCAGGTGGATCACCTGAGGTCAGGAGTTTGAGACCAGCCTGACCAACATGGTGAAACCCTGACTTTACTAAAAATACAAGAATTAGCCTGGCATGGTGGCGGGTGCCTGTAGTCCCAGCTCCTCGGGAGGCTGAGGCAGGAGAATCGCTTGAACCTGGGAGACGGAGGTTGCAGTGAGCAGAGATCATGTCCCTGCACTCCAGCTTGGGCGACAAAGGGAGACAAAAAAAAAAAAAAAAAAAAGGAAGGAGATGACTTACATTTACAGGCCATGTTAAATGACAAATATGTTTCATTTGCCAACACCCATAGTTGAGTTCTTTTCTGTTGTATCTATTTGTGGAGTAACTTCCTTATATACTCCTGACTAATAAGTTTTGTTATCCTCCTAGGAAATCGACAAGATGGTTTTTGGAGAGAACCTCTTGATATTGTATCTACCGTCTATTGTGATCACGCTGGCCAATTTTATCACCCCAATGATCTTTGCCAAGATCATCCGCTATGAGGATTATTCCCCAGGCTTTGAGATCCGGCTGACAATCCTTAGGTAATGCCTAACATGAAGATGGCAGGCATGTCAAGCCAATCACCACCTGCCCTCTCTTGCCCATGGCAGACATCGCTAATCAATTGTGGTGCATTTTCCTGCTGAGCCAAGAGTCCTCCTCAACCTTCAGACAGCCCCCATGAATGAATCAGAATTTGTACATATGGTGAAATGTCTTTGATTTGAGAGTCTACTCCTTGATACTATGTTTTTGGTCCATATAATAGCACAGGGCATAGGCTGGGACCCTAAGAGCAGGGGTTACTCTAAAACTGTCAGAAATGACAGCTATAAGGCAGAGTCCAGGGAGTTAACACAAATGAGTGGAGAAGACCAGGTGGGACTGTGCAGGACTTGAGAGTTTTCTTTCTGTTTCTCACATGCCTTAGATAGCATTTGCATGTTATATAAAACATTTTTTATTTTGAAAAAAAATTTTTTTTTTTTTTTTGAGATGGGGTCTCACTCTGTCCCCCAGGCTGAAGTGCAGTGGGGGGACAGATCATAATTCACTGCAGTCTCAAATCCTTGATCTCAAACAATCCTCCCACCTCAGCCTCCCACATAGCTGGGACCACAGACATGCACCACCATGCACAGCTAATTAAAAACAATTTTTTTTTTTTTGTAGAGACAGGGTTTTGTTATGTTGCCCAGGCTGGTCTTGAATTCCTGGGCTTAAGTCACCCTCTTACCTCCACCTCCCAAATCCTGTGATTACAGGCAAGAGCCACCATGCCTGGTCTCAAAGTTTTCAAATAGAATGCATAGTGTAATGATTCCCATATGCCTTTCACTTACATTTCCGTCATTCCCAACATTTTGCTAATCTTATTTCCATCCATTCCCCGTTTCTTTGCTGGATTATTTTAAGCAAATCTCAGGCAACATGCCATTTCATCTGTAAACACTTCATTATACCTTTTTTTTTTTTTTTTTCTTTTTGAGACACGAGTCTTGCCCACTTTTGCTCAGGCTGGAGTGCAGTGTGTGAATCCTCGGTCTCACTGCAGACCTCCACCCTGCCTGGTTCAAGCAATTCTCCTGCCTCAGGCCCTTCTCGAATAGGCTGGGACTACAGGGCACGGGCCACCATCGGCCCGGGCTAATTTTTTAAAAATATATTTTTAGAAGAGACGGGGTTTCACCATGTTGGCAGCGCTGATCTCAACTCCTGACCTCAGATGATCGATCCACCTTAGCCTCCCCAAGTGTTGGGGATTACAGGCGTGACCACCGTGCTCCAGCCAACTTCATTATATCGTCTAAGTGATGGGAAGCTTTAACCATACTAACCATCATCACACACTAATAAATCGAGTTTGGTCTCCCCGGTGGGGGTTGCAGAATGGTTTTCACAGTTGATTTGTTCAAAGCAGAATCGCAACACGGCGCTCCACATGCTGGTGTTTGGTTGTCATGTCTCCTAAAATCTGCTTGTATTCTTTTTGGGAGTTTCCCCCTCCCCTTTTGTTTAGCTCTTTGAATTTGTGGAAGAAACTGGAATGCGTTTCCTGTAGAGTATGCTCCCTATTCTGGATTTCGTCCATGTGTTTCTTCCTCGGTGTGTTTAATTTGTTTTTCTGTGCCCATGAGTTTGCTGTCAATGACTGCGTAGATTCAGAGTTTTTTGTTAGATTCTTGTCTCAGTTGTTTGTGAGTTAAGGAAACCTCATCAGCGGTGGCCATGTCCTTCCTGTTGTATCTCAGCAGAGGTACAGTGTGGTGTTAGTAATGAGAAGAAATGATTAGAGGCGAAATGGGTTCACTTTAGACCACTTCATTCTTTAATCTATTTGTCCCTTATTTTTTTTTTTTTTTTTATTTTAGAGACTGGGTCTTGCTCTGTTGTCAACACGAGCTGGAGTGCAGTGGCATGATCGATAAGGTCAACTGCGGCCGTTCGAACCACCTGGGCCCCAAGTGCTCAGCCTCTCGAGTGCTGGGGACTACAGGTGCACGCCACCATGCACAAGCTGGATTTTCAAATTTTTCTGTGGAGCACAGGAGTATCCTCAACGTGTGCCCAGGTGTGTCTCAAACTCCTGGGCTCAAGCAATCCTCGCACACTAAAGCTTCCAAAGCGTTGGGATCTAACAGGCCTTATTGAGGCCACCATTGCCCCACCCTCCCTTATGTCTTTAAATTGTGTTATCTTTCTTTCTTTTTTTTTTTTTTTTTTGAGACGGAGTCTGCACTGTGTCGCCCCAGCCGAGCGTGAGTGCAGTGGCACCTATCCGATTGCTCACTGCAACCCCGCCTCCCAGGTTCACGCCATTCTCCCTGCCTTCCAGCTTCGCTGAGTAGCTGGGACTACAGGACCCGCCACCACGCCCGGATACATTTTTGTGTATTTTTTAGTAGAGGACGGGGTTTCACCATGCTAGCGAAAACATTTCTATTTATTTTTGGTATTTACAAACCAAAACAATAGAAAAATTGTCTAAAAAAAACAAAAAAAAAAAAAAAAAAAAAAAAAAAATTAAAAAAAAAAAAAAACAAAACAAAAAAAAAAAAGGAGAACATAACGCCACTGTTGCTGTTTATACTCCACCCCACCTCCCTTGAACCCAGTGTGTTTTTGTCCACACAGTTCCTGATGTTTGTGCCAACACCTCACGGTTTTTTCCTCCCAAAAATGAGTATCATACATTCTGTGATATCCTGGCAGCATACTTTTTTTTCACTTTTCAGCAT